CCGGGACCTCTAGGTGAGCCGTTTTCTTTAACATACTGCCACCTAGTGGCTATGGAACAAACTGAAAAACGCTTCACCTATCCAGGGAGACCGTGAGGAAATTTTTGTTCCTTGCCATTCCCATCCAGAAAGCACAGAAGACAGATGTGTCTCACTGCATTGCCTCTATCCCCTTCCTTGCCACTGCCACTGTGCATTTCAACTGTAAAGGTATCTGATCACTAAGGACCTTCACCTTTAATCAGAAGTCTCTGAGGTACAAAACAAAGAAGCAGACACCGGGCCTAGAGGCTGTGCGTCTTACCTCCCCCTCCTCTAGTATGGTGGTTGGAAATTTCATGTACGTGGGCTGAGCCCAACTTAATCAACATATCCCTTAAAGTGGAGAACTGTGGTAACTTGAGTTTTCTTCCCCTGTAAACAATCAATGTGGTCATTTGTTTTTGCTGTGCTGAGGATTGAACCAATGCCTTGTGCATGCTAGGAAAGAGCTGCTTCCCCAGCCTTGGGTGTTTTGAGACAGTCTTGCTATCATAGCCCAGGCTGGTCTTGAACTCACAATCCTTCTTCCTACTGAGATCACAGGGGTGCACCAGTATGCCCAGCCATACTGGTGCCAGAATCATACCAGAGTATGATTTAGTTTTGGAAGCACACAGAAGAGATCAAGTAATCAGTGAGACAAATCCTTGGGCAGCTTAGTTTCCTGTCTGTGCATACAGGCAAATTCCCATAGTTGTGGAAGCACATGAGGTTCAATGAGGCAAGTGTGGTAAGACACTCGGATGGGAGCAGAATCAATGGCAATTTGGGCAGACTGTGAAAAGGATGGATTCTTGCCAGTGAGTGATTAGGCAGGATAAATTTACAGGGCAATTACCCTTGGCGGGGCTTGGGCAAGAGTTCCTAACATGGGCCAACCTCCTTTTGTAAGCATAAACCTCAAATAAACATGGTGGGAAGAGCTACCTCCAGGATGGTATCTAGACGTGTGTGCTTTGATAGCAAAAAGGCACAAGCTAACAATAATGAGACTGCAATTGGCTTGAGATGTGTCAACTTTCTAGATAGACGCCTTCTTTTGGTAACAGACTCCCCTGACTTACCCCCCAAAATCAGCAGACAAAGCAGCCAGTACTCTGATACAATTGTATTTATTACAGTCTCCAGACTCCCTGTGACATACAACCTGAAGCAGAACATTACAAATGGATGGTACTAGCAGCAGCCCTCCCCCCAATGGGAAGCGTTTCAGTTAACTTAACAATTAGGAGAAATACAAAGATGAGCGAACAGTCATGGTTCTTCTCTCACAGCTGGTATATGAACACTGAAACTATCCACATGTACAGTCACCCAGCTTTCGTTGTGTCTGAGACACACTGATAAGTCAATGCAGAGGGGTATCCCTAGGGTGACATCTTTAGATGTCACTACGAAATAAGGAAATCACTTTTTAAGACATGGCTTACTATCTACTATCAGGACAACAGAGTAAAAGTGAACAGCTGCCCCAGAGCCCAACTCAACGTAAGGCAGCAGGTAATCATCATTTAAATAATACCCCTGAAAAATTGTCAGACATTTTTTTCACGGTTCTAAAAAACATAACATCAGACATAAACATCAGATGTGTGCTCCAAAGGACTAAAAATCAAAAGCAATTGCTATGTATTGGGAATAGCTTTTACAGCTTTCCTAAGGGACAGGGCCCGTGCTTGCAGAGTGTTTTTAAAGGAACACTAACTCTAGTAGCTTATCAAACTACTTTTTATTCTAAATAAATAACAGACCAACTGAAGGTCTCAGGTGTACTGATTTTTTTTTCCCTAGATCTTCGAACCATCCAAAGCCACTTCTTGACAGAGAGCTTTCGTTTTTATTAGAAGAGTGCAAGAGAACTTACAGACCTTTGAAAAGTACTCAAAACTGAGAGGAAGGAGGCCCAACCCTTCCTCAGAACCAAGAAAACTGTGACAGGGACTCCAAAGGCGTATCTTAATCCATCAACACCATTTGCCAAGATGGGCCCCCTTTGCCACACAGGCCTACATGAGATGTTTCTCGTTTATAATCACTAAGAAAATCCTTTGGGGAAAAAGAAAAACAGACTGAAATGGGGCTGGCTGCATTCTGTATCTGTACAGGAAAAGAAAAAACTGAACAGCATGAAAACAATATGTTTACATCATGATACTCTTTCTCTACGTGAACCCTGACCTTCCCACAGAAACCTCTTCATTCATAAAAGCACAGAAGGGAATGAAGAGCCTTGGGGCAGCACCAGTGACAGCAAGCTGTCTTGGAATAGTTTGAATTCTTTCCTGAAGGCAAAGTTTAGAGAAAATTTAAGGAAGCAATTTACAAAACCAATTCCACTTAATGATTTTGCCCATGTTGGCTGCTATGGAAATAGTGCAGTAGAAATACAAATACTTATTTGCATCAAGTTAGGTTTGTATTTCTTTTTCTCCAAAGGCAGAAGTGGCTTACACAGATGTTAGAAAGGCATACAAGGATGAAGGGCAGCTTACAGCTCACGACCTGAAAATCCCTAAGGTGGACCTTCACACAAGGACAGATGGGGCTACTGCTGACCAGCTGGCAATGCACAGCAAGGACTGATGCTCACCTAGACTTCAATGCTAATGTTTTCCCAGCTTTCTGCCTTCACATGCAAGTGCTGCTGATCCAAAGCCACCTGCCACAGACACTGCTAACTCGGGCTAACCACTTCTGCCTCTGCTCAGAAGATGGCTACTGAAAGGAAACATAATAGCTTCTCAAATGCTAAAACAACCTAAGTGCAAGTCATACTAATGACAAAGCAGGAGAATCACTTCTATCTACAAAGAATAGCACATTAACTGTACTGGCTATGAAATCATATCTTTGTTGTTTTCAATACTACAGTTTGAACTAGGGCTTATACCTGCTGGGCAAGTGGTCTAACAAGTGAGCCATGCCTCCAGTCCTTTTTGTTTTGGTTCATTTTCAGACAGACTCTCAGACCTTTTCCCTGGGGCTGGTCTGGGACCTGATTCTCCTACCTCCACCTCCTAAGAAGCTTGGAATGTAGGCATGCACCTGGCCATATCTTTCTCTTTCTTTTTTTTTTTTTTTTTTGGTGGTACTGGGTTTGAACTCAAGGCCTCACACTTGAGTGAGAGGTGCTGTACCATATCTTTCATTTCTTAGTCACCTGGTATTAATGTACATACAACAGGGAGTGTTCTGATTCACATTCCCCCCACCAATGTTTCTACAAGCTACTTTAAAAAAAAAAAAAATGATTCTATCAGTGACCTGGTTTGTGGCTATGGACTTCTCCCCCAAGTTTTCCTGCACATACAACATACCTGAACTTAACCAATGTATTACCTTCCTTGGGTGGTGGTATTGAGCACATTCACCATCTCTGAGTGCAGATAAACCCAATTAACATGAGAAGATCTCTATGTCAAGTACAAACCACAGTGCGAGAGCAAAGATCTGACGGGAAGTGCAGGGGTCCTGGGAGAGTGCAGAGGGGCTGGCTGCCAGCCTACACAAATCTGCCCGTTTTGTCTACAGAGGCCCCATTTCCTGAGTCCTTAGACAGCAGTATAAGTTTGGCAAGCACATGCCTCGTTTGGATGATACTACTTGCTTCAAACTGAGCAAAAGAACCCAAGGCTGAGCTGGTAACACAAAGAGCTGAGAGTTGGTCCCCTAAGCTCTGGCAGGATTGTTACCTAACAAGGTCAGATTCTCCTGAAAAGACCTCACCAGGTACACAGGAGTGTCCTGTGAATTGACATATTTGTGTGAAAAGCCAAAGTTGTACATTCAGGGGGAGTACTACTTTCAGCAAGCTTCCCAAGCCGGATCCCTGCAGGCAGGACATCAGACCAGTTCTGCTGCATTCCAGTTGTATAGGGTCCCTCTCAGGAAAGGGGGGTGGTCTTCTAGTTATCTACCACTACTTTCCTTTTTTGTTTCTTATCCTAAGGAAAACTTCAGCTATTTCCATAGCAGCTTAGTATTTACTTATTTAATTATTTTTGGTGCTGGGGACTGAGCCAGGGCCTCACGCACACTAAGTACTCTCTCCACCATGGCAACTTATGACCTAGTTGATCACATTTTTTTGAGCAGCAATACATTATTAGGACCTATCTTTTCTTTAATTTTGAAAAAAAAGTTCTCCAATAACGACATTAATTCCTAAAAACTGCTGTCTCTGAAAATAATTTTTATGCTTTGTGAAACAAAAAGCACATTACCAGAAAGTATTCACTCCAGAGATGAAGGACACACACCACCTAACATGGGTTGCACACAGCCTAAGATGGGTGTCATATTGGGGAGAGAACTGTAAATCAATTCTCGTAAGAATACATCAAAGTTGTACGTGAACACGGAGGCTGGCATGCATGTACACCAATCCGTTAGATTTAACCAGGCACTGGAATGAATGGGAATTGGTTTTGTTCCTTTTGATTGCACGTTTCTCAGTTACTGGGGGAATACAGCATCCACTACAGCTTCTGGCTGAGAGACAATAGGACAGACAGATAAGGACAGCCACACAGGGGAGAATGGTAAAGAGATGTAGGCAGTGCTGCCTGATGATTAAACAGACAAACATTAATTTGGGAACTGAGATTTTGGGCATCTAGTTGGAAGTGAATTTAGATAAATACAATAAGATATTTAGGTAAATGTATTAATAAAGGTAGTTGTTAACTAGAGCTCGTACCCTACAACCTCTATAACTTTAGACATCTGATATGGCTCCAGAGTATACTTTAAAATGCATTTAACATAAACAGAAAACAACAACAACAGAAAAACAGTTGCAAATTCCCCTTAGGGAATGATGCCATTTTTAGCTGCTCAGTCTCCCTTTGGTACTATCATTGTAAACCCCTTGCAAAGTTCAAGGGAGTTCTTTAGGATAATTATCAGAAAATGGTGGGATATGGGATATGGGGGAAGCAGCAAAAAAAAGTCCCTCTACATTCTTCTGAGAACTTCCACTGTCCCTCTACAGAAAGGAAAACAGTTCCCACAGTTTTCACTGCTTTCTGATGATAGTTACAAGATCATAAAGTGACACCTAGGAAGATTCCTTTCTTATATAGCACCTGCCTTGCTCCTAAGACAGAATTCTTACAGAGCTATGAAATAGTTAGAAGTTACTCATGGCACTTAAACATGACTAGAGGCTGTAGGATGCCATCCTAAAGTTCTCTGCCACAATGCCCGTGAGGTAGGTGTCTGCCAGGGAAAGTGAGGCACAGAGGGGTTAGCTGCTTGGCTCTCATCGCCATGAGCTGGTGGTCCAGTCAGCAGAACAATGAGGTGTACCAGCTCCCCAGCCTCGACTCACCCTGCTTCTCAGAAGGCCGACCCATGTTACACAACAAGTAGAGCAGGGGAAAGTTTTGTTTTCATTTCTCCTAATTAACTACTGATTCTCACATTGAACATAAGTTATATAAGATAGAACATAAATTAAAAAATCAATATTGCCTAACAGTCTGTGTCAAGATGCAGCCAATATCATATGAAAAGCACATAATAATAAGCTTCAAGTTGGCGTGTTCGTGGGTTCTGTGGGACTGTGAGTGAAGTGTTCCTTAGACACACCCACCTACTTTCTAAGAACCTCTTTGGCCTGACACAAAGGAATAAAACTACCATTCTATTTCAGGATAAACCATTCTAACGGATATCCTGCACAAGGCTGGCTCTGCCTAGAAAGGGGAGCCTCAGCCATGTGATGTGTATTACTGAGTTCATGCAGACCTCTGAAGCCAGAAACGAAGGTCACAATCTCCTTCCACAAAGCTTACAGGACAGTACATATGACATACAGAGGGGCAAGACCACAGAGTACATGCACTAGCACCATGCCACAGAAGTCAGAGGACAAGAAACCACCACACAAGCACATTATGGGCCCATCTGGTGTGCCATGTGCAGAGGCTGCCTCTGGAAAAGGGAAGACTGATAAGGTCCTGCAATCCTTCCTGCAACAAGGCCAAGGACCAACCACCTGTCTCAATTCCACCACTGCACAAGCTGGCAACTTTCCCAGACCTTACTGATACTGAAAGGTAACAAACCTCCTTTCTTCATCAACAGAGAGCAGTGTGGAACAAAATTCCAAGGTCAGTTATAAGATGTGGGTACAGGGTTCCGGGGTACTGGAACTGTTACTGTTAGAACCAAATTCATGGTACTCAGGGCACTAGCTTGTAGAAATGTGACAATTCCTTTAGAGACAGTTTTTGTCCCTAGTTTCTGAGGAGTGATTTCTACCCACACTGCAAACCCTAAGTCAAATGGAAGGGCTCATATCTGGCTTGAGTCTGAAGTGACACCCAATCCAATGCATGTACCTATGAACAGCTTTTGCCTTGTTATTGATTCAAACACCCATCCTCCCAATGCCTGTCCTTCCCTTGAGCTCGTCTTCCAGAGGCCTGAGCCTGCTCTGTCCTCTGCATGTGCAGGACCAGAGGGAATCATTCCAACTCAGAGTTTCATCAGGATACTAGAATATAGCATAGTAGCAACACATGCACTTTATTTCTCAAACCAAAGCTCAAGTGAGGCTGAGCTGGTCACTGTGCAAGATGAACCAGCAAGACATTCTCACCTCGAATGAAAATCTGATTTATGTGTCGAGTGAATACCTGCTGGTAATCCACCTTGGGCTTTCGCTTTTTCTTACGGGACTGGCTCCTGGAAAGGGTGGTAGCCCTGGAAAGGGTACCTCCTGCACTGGATCCTTCCGTCCGTGTAGTCCTGGAGCCTGACAGCTCTGACCTGGACTCTTCCCTTGCAGATGCCTGCAGGGAAGAAGGGACAGAGCGGGAACGCCTGCGTGAGCCCCGGTCAGTGTCTCCTCTTCCCCACACTGAAGCCACTTTCCAAGTGGATGTCTGGGAGTATCTAGAAAGAGTGGAGTCTTCTACTGCAGACTTGGAATCTGCTTCCTTCTTGGAGGTATCTTGAAGTTTCAGCCGATCAAATAGCTATGAGGAAAGAGATGACAAATGTTAGCCTTCTCATTAGCCTACAACACCCCTCCAGATTCCTGAATTATGCTCTGTGGACTCTGAGTGCATTCTTTAAAATGTTAGTAAGACTTCTTAGTTTCTAGCTCTCACTCAGATAAATCAGTAAGCATGTCAAGAGAAGGCACGTGCTTACTTCAGTGGTATAGTGCTGAAAGACTTTAAAGCCTTCTAAGAGGTAACCTGCTGCTCAAAAATGCTGGTTAGAAGCACAGATGCATTTGAGATCAGCTGGAAGCAGGAGGTGAGAGGCTAATGGAGACCTTTATGGGCACACCTAGCTCACAAACAGGGCAAGGACACCCTGGTCAGCAGGCTGGAGAGGAGGATGGGTACCCAGGAGGTCAGGGGAAACTGCCTACCCTAGTGAGGGTCAACGAAGAGTCCCGCTCATACGCTTTGCCTAGAACAGGCTTACGGTAGGTCTCATCCACATCTGTAAGTGCCTAGAGAAACAGCCCAAGGGGGAAAAAAGGAAGAAAAATTAAAATGATACTTTATAGATTTTTGGGGGGGAAAAGGCAAAAGTAAACTTAACAGCTGACTCAGCTCTTAAGCAGAAGACAATGGTTAACACCCAGCACTCTCAGCCTAGCATTTCCAAGCTGCTGCTCTTTAGGACTGCATGGTAGACATTCGTAAATTTCACTGTGCATAAATATCCAGAAAGTTATTAAAATACAAAGCCAGGACTACTCTCTTAGAGATTATGATTCAGAAGGTCTGGGATGAAGCCCAAGAAACTTTTGCTTCCAGCAGAAACTCCAAGTGATTCTGTGGCAGGGCAGCTTTAAGCACACTTGAGAAACACTGCTGTTTCTTTACCTCCTCAGTCTCAACATCAATATGACAACAACTAACACAGTTTAACAGGATGACACGAAGAATTACAGGTGAGCTTGCCTCACAGAGATCAAACTCACAGGACAACTGTCGGGTTCAAATGAGACTGTGTAATGGAAACTACTCTGAATAATGTAAACCACCTCACAAATACAAGATAAATAGTATTGTTATTACCACCGTCAGTAAGCATGTTCTCTAAAATCCTTTCCCCTCAAAGATAGAATTGTAATAGCTAAGTATTTTTTCTTACATGGTAGAAATAGGAAAACTGAGGTGCAGACGTGGTGCCTCTGGCTACATAGGTACCAAGTGATGGAGGATTCAGGTCTAGGTCTAACATTTGAAGCTAGGATTTAAATTCCCTATCAACTGAAAACATGGCCAACAGAAATCAGAAAGACCCAGATGAAGTCTTGGACTTCTACTTCCACTAACAGTATTATCTGAGAAAAACCTTCCAGTTTCTCTAGAGTCAGTTTCCTCATTTGTGAGATGCAACAGTAAAAAAACCTATACTGCATTTATCAAGGTAAGATATAAAGAGGCTGAGGCAGGAAGATCATGAGTTCAAGGTCAGCTTGGGCTACATGCATAGTGAGTTTCAGGCAAGCCTGGGCTACATAGTGATACTTGGTCTCAAACTCCCCCTGCCCTCCACAAATATAAGATATAAGGCCCCATTGTACCGCATCTGGCACATAACAAGTACTTAACAAATATTAGCAACAAGTGTCACTACCCAGGAGATGGCACAGATGGGGATAAAGCACAGGGAAAAGGCAAGATGAAGATGAAAAAGAAACACTAGAAAGCCCTGGTGGTTCTTTGTTTTCTTGTTATAGTTGTACTGTAACACATCCCTGCTCTCCGACAGATGTCTAATAAGGAGACAGTAAGCTTCTGTAGTGTTGAGGGGTGCAGGCGTCCTTCCCTAAGAACTCACTATATGAAGTGTTTTGCTTATTAATGTCTGCTTTACCCCTATCCTTATCTTTCTTCCAAATCCAAGTGAAAGAAATTCCTTTCTGAATCTTCTGAATCTAGCACCAGGCCCAGCCACAGTGAGAAGTCAAGAAATATTTTTAGATGAACAAAAGAATGCCTTGTAGGAAATCAACAGGAATTTACTAAATAGATGAGAGCAAATCCTTCCTACGCCAGGTCTCTTGAGCATGCAGTAATGACATTTGAGCTGGAAAATTCTGTGTGTGGGGGGCTATTTTGTGCCTGTTGAACGTTCAGCAGCATCCCTATCCCATACACCTTAGATGCCAGCACCTCACTCCCTGACCCAGTTTTGACAATTAAAAAATATCCTCAGACAGAGATCACCAAAAGTCTTTGGGAGGGGGAAGAGCAAATTGCTATGGCAGAGCACAGCGCCATAAGAAAAGGAAGCAATAAAAGCAACTGTCTATTGTTTTTGTCTAAGAGTACACAGAGTTCAGTTCTTCTGAGAAGTTATTCTGTAGGTTTTGATTACAAGGCTGTTCAGGTATATAGGATAATCTCCTGCAAGAAAGGTTAATTACCATATTCCAAAACTTGTCAAATGCCACGAGGAAGCCTGTACAGACGCCCCGAAGTCCCTTGAAAGTGCGGATGTGAACATTCACCTTCACCCCCTCCCGGATACAGCGATGGAGTTCGCCCAGAGGGCTGCCTTCGTGCACTGAAACAAGAGAATAGTCAGCTTGGCGTGAACATCTACCATCAGCCCCAGAATTAACAGTCAACCACCTAACCATACCAGTAACAATCACAGTGACAGCCTCACTTTTGGAACTGGGAGGCCCAGTGAACCAACACACGCTGAAATGAGATCTGATTTCAACAGAATGTGTATAAACCACATCGTCTAAATGTTTCACTACCTATATATCCTTTATTATTCAGTGATGTCAGTGATTCTAAGATGCACCATCACTTAAAAAATTCTGCAGGCAAAAAAGAAATACATTAAACATTCACATTATGGCTGGAGGCGTGGCTCAAGTGGTAGAGCACTTGCCTAACAAGTGCAAGGCCCTGACTTCAAACCACCAAAAAAAAAAAAAAGTACACATTAGCAGCTTGATTCTTCTCAATTCTGGGTCTTAAGACAATGTTTTTCAGCACAATTCTCATGAATTGCATATCCAGCTTGAGCTTTCCCAAGATCCAACAGCCTTGTTCCTATGTTTGAAGGAACAGAACTGAGTCACACATGTCTTTAAACATGTGCCATTCTTTCCAAGGGAACAGCCTTTTGGTCCTACCAATCTAAGCCCCTCTATGCATGAGCTCTTGGGAGTCACTGGTGATTTGGTGGACATCGTCTCGACACTGGGAGGAAAAGCACAGATTGTGCTCTGAGCCCAGATGGTACACAGGGCCCCTGCTCTATGTCTGGTCCTGTGAGACTGCTGAGAAGCACCATGAAAAAAGCAATGTGACAATTCACAGAATGATGCAACCACACACTCCAGTTTTTATTAGGAGAGGTCCTTCTCTCAGAGCTTGGGGGCAGTGACAGACTTTTCTTATTTCATGTCAACTCAGTTCTCACAATATGTTGCCTTGTAGTACAGAATCCTCCAGAAAGACCTCCCCACATACACATACCCAGTGTCAGTTTTTCTCTCCCAAGTTTGCAAGGCAAAATTGTTTGGAGAGTATTTGTTATTAACAGTAAACAAATTTCTCTGTTTTGTTTCTAGTGGCAGAAAAGAAAACAGTCCTGTTCTTCAGTTTGGATAACTTAAACCGGTTCCTTTTTGCCACCTTATCCCTCATTCATGAGCTGGTGTATAAACGATAGCCATGACTACTGAAAGAAAATACTCTTGGAAGACAGTAATTTAACAGATGATAAGTAGGAGTTTAGATCAGATTGAAAAATTGGCAATTAAGTGCCCCTGGAGGAAAAGTGGCACGAGAGGACTTGGGAAAGAACAGGAGGGCTCTGGTCGGACCACTGACCTTTCTACGCAATGTTAAAGTCCTCTGAACCTGTGATAAAGTTGTATGAGTGTACACATATATCTGCCCATGTGTCATAGGCTATGTTGTCAGGAATTGTAAACAATTTTTAGTTAATTACCACTAGTGTGTGACCTTGGTGACTAACTGTATCCTTACACTAATTAAACTAGTTACACTAGTGAGGTTACACTGGTGTCTATGTTAATTTCAGGAAGAGGTCACTATAATTCCATTTTAGAAGCTGATCATAATGCCTGAACTATTTCCCTTGTCTACACATGTGCACTGCCTTGCCTCCCAGACATATGCATTTCTACCAAGAATAGAAAGATCACTGCCATTCTAACTTGGAAAAAAAAAATAGGGGCTTTACTATGTCTCTTCCCCTCCACCCCAGACAAAGAAGGGGCAAGCAAGGATCTTAATAGCAGCTCCTTATACTAATTAGATAAATGGCAAACTCAGAAATTTAAACTCTTACACCTGTCATTTTCTCATGCTTTTTTTTTTTTTTTTAATTTCTAAAGATTTAACAAGGTGTAAGTCCAGGGAATAGTTCATGCCTTGTGTGATGAAAAATACAACACTAGCACCACTTATGAGAGCAAACTCTCTAGGCAAAAATGAACTCCCATTCTAAATCCGAATGCATACTCTCTTTCCAGCTATCTCCGTAACAGGCTCCAAATGGGTATGAGCCAAGCTGCTAAATCTTAATAAATTTAAGAATATATGCCTCATATCTGAAGAAAGCTATTCTTCCAAATCCCCTCTCAAGTGCCTCTGCCCTTGGGCCACATCCTTCCAAGACCAGGTCAACTTTAGCTCATTCTTCCTTCTCCATCACCAGATTCCAGTAATAGACTGGAACTTGCCCTTCTCTTTCCACAGCACAGTTCAGTCCAGAGCCTTATCTGATGAGTGGTCTCCTGGATCCCCTTCCTAACATCTGCAACGACATCATCGTCATTACTGCCATCACCAGGCCTTTTGTTTGAGCCAGGCCTCAAACGAAAAGTAAATTTGCTGTTATGTACATTATTCTACTTAATTCTCAAACAGCCCTAACACTGATGGGTACTATGGATCCAATGGGCTGAGGGTTCCTTTGCTCTGCACTAAGGGAGCTTAGAGCCTAGGGCATGGACCCATGCTCTTGGTGTTACAACTCTGGGCTTTAAGTGCCACTAGCCCAGCACCTAGCAGCTAATGTTCCAGCTCCAGGTTTAGGGTGTCAGTACCCTCAGCTTAGTGACCAGGGCGTTCTCAAGCTGGGGCTTGTAGCCCCTCCACAGCCCTGGCTCCTCAGAGCTCTCTGCCATCTCTGGCCTTCTCAGCACTTGGGCAGTCCTTCCTGGTCTCAGCTCTCTGCAGTCTGCTCCAGCCACTCTGGAGCTCTTCAGCCACCTTCTCCTGCTGCTGGGTGTGCCTGGGATGACAGCCCTGGAATGGTTTGCTCTTCTTGTTACCAGTTCAGCTCACTCTACCCAGGTCATCAGACTCTAACCATGATAAAGACTAAGTAGACAACAGAACCATACAGAGGAGGCCTTTTGGAGCCCGTGTTTCAGTGCAGGGGCAGGGGGGAATGTCTCCTTGGGCTAACCAGAGGATAGGGAGGAGGTTGCACATAATGCCAGTCACACAAGCACAGCTTCCTCTCTGCTAGGCACACACTTCAGCCTCTGGCCTGAATGGATGCCACCTGCTTGCAGACATCTGCAAGGGCTCCAGAGTGGCTGTGGGAAGGGTACTGAGAGGGTCACCATAGTGAGTATGATGGCCTCTAAAACAGAAGTGATAGCCTCTACAACAGGGTGATGGGATCAGAGTCTTGCTGAGTGGACAAGAGGCATTCTAAGTATTCATAGCTACCCAGCCATGGTGGCACACACCTGAATTCCCAGCTACTCAGGAGGGAGAGATCGAGAGGACCCAGGTTCAAGGCCAGCCTGGCCAAAAAGTTAGCAAGACCCCATTTCAATCACTAAGCCAGGCATGGTGTGTGCCTGTAATCCCAACCACCGGGAGGGGGCATAATAAGAAGGAAGATCATGGTCTGAGGTAAGCCCCAGCAAAAAGAATGAGACCCTATCTGAAAAACAACTAAAATGAAAAGGGCGGTGGGTATAGCGCAAGTGGTAGAACTACTTAGCAAGAATGAGACCCTGAGTCTCCCGATACCACCAAAAAAAAAACAAAAACAAAAAAGATACTACAAAAATAATGAAAATATTATTAAAAAATGATGCCAGCCCTCAATGACAGAGGAAGTGGTAGTTGATTGTCAGCTCTGTGAAGGCTAAGGCTGTGACTGCCGCCTTCCCAGAAAGAACTCCTGGAAGGACAGCAATGTTTGACCACAGAGATAAGCACAGCAAACCTGCTCCCTGGGGCAACTGCCTGAGTTCCCAGTAGAAGGGTCTGCCAACTGTCAATCAAGCATCTCAACTGCTCTAGCTTCACAGGTTCAGTCATTTTAAAGGGGAAAAACATTAGAGGGTGCTCACAACAAAAATTTAATATGAAATTAACATTCTTCATTGACAAGCTTTATCAAACAATGTCTAGTCCTCAGTTGAATACTTTTAGGGAGCTTGGGTCCTCTTGTTCTTACTATTATTTCACCCCAACTTACAGATAAGGAAACTGAGGCTCAGAGCATGTAAGTAATTTGCTCAAGGTCAGTTATCTAGTACACAGCTGAACCAGCCCTCAATTCAGGCAGGTCATGTGAATTCTGACTAGGGGTTGTTAAGTATGTCAATCTAAAAATAAGAATGACCACTGCAACAACAGTGACATTTCAACATTTGTTGAAAATGTTCCTGTGTCCTAGGGAATGTTACTGCTGTAATATTGAATCCTTAACAATTTAACCCTTACAGTGACAGATAAATACCATTATCGTTTTTCATGCTACAGAAATGTAACTTGCCTAAAGTAATAAAACAGCTAGAGGTTGGAGGAAATAAAACAGAAATTGGAGGAAACCGTGTTCAAACCTAGGCAGATTCTACACATTTGTCAAAACTCACTTAAAAAGGCTGAGTTTTGCTACATGTAAATTACACTGACAGCCTCATTTTTATCCTCACCCATCCCCTTCCTGACTTCAGTACCTAAAGCTAACTTCTTGCAGGAACTCTTTCTTTAGTAAGTCTAATTCCCACCCATGCTGCTGATGTCTCCTTGATTTCCAAAGGCCATCGACTCTGTAAAATCAACTCACATCTATGGCGGTACTCCTAAGTGTCTCCACTGCCATGGTTAAAATGTTCAGTGACGGGGCATACTCTGAGATCTCAATTCCAGATGTGTACGGGAAGTCCACAAAGCTGGTGTCACACAGTCCTACAGATGTAGTAAAGCGCTCCGTGGTAAAGCTAAAGCCACCCACCATGTAGAAGTGTGTCTTTCCCTTGCCAATCTGAGTAGCAAGCAATACTGGAAAAATGGAAAGAAATGTTAAATCTAAGACTTGGAGTGCACATCAATAACCTAATGGTGGCAAAACATATAGGCAAAACAAGCCCCCCACCACCACCACCAAAACTGCTCTGATTTTAGGAGCATGAACTGTCTTTGTGTCAGTTCTGGGCAAGCTAGCCAGGGAGTTCCCTAGCTTGAGGGATGCTCTGGCAAGACAGCACATCAGCACCATGACAGACACAGTTTTTCAGGATGAGTCTCTCCTAACAAACACATTTCTAGGAATGAAAAAAAAAAATCCCCTGCTTAGTACACTCCTCCATTCAAAAGGAAGTCATTTAACAATGTAATAACTTAATGATGGGATCAGATGCTTTGAATGGCTAAGTAGGTCACTGCCTTCACAGAACAGATGTTAGAGCCGTTTTGCCAGATGACAAAAGATATAACCCTCGGCTGTTCTGATTCCATTTATACAAGACCTAACTCACACATTAGAACCTCTACAGTTTACAGCTTTACTCTAAGGATCTATTAAGAAATTCCCTTGTGCCATTTACACTCTCAGAACTTGAAATAACCTGCACATAGAGGAGCCTAACAGACACAGTCCTGCCCCCTCCAGTCACTGGCTGTAAAACAGTGCCTGGGTTTTAGAGGGATTCTGTATCTGATGCATTCCAGCACTTGGGATTTAGGAAGGTGAACATATGTGAGTGCATCAAGTCCCTGCGGCCCTTCTTCTGCTCCTCACACCCCAGAGCGACCTGTCACCCCCGCCCCCCAAGCTGGGGTCATGAGACCAAATCTCTGGTTCGATCGGAAGAGAGAGACCGCCCCACAACTCCATCTCATCCAGTTCACTAATACTGGCTGTTCTCCGTATCCCCTCTCCCCACCATAGTCCCCAAGACCTCTCATCACGTCTAGGATGTCCCCCAAACTGTTTCCAAGTTCCCCATCTCTCCTGCAGACCCAGTGCAGGCTCAAGTCCTGCGGAGACACCTGCCTGGCACCATTGACCTCTGCGCCCCTTCCACGGCTCCCCATCACGCGCGCGGCCCGGGCGCCCCCCGCCCCACCTCACCCCCTCTCGCCCCCTCCCCCCGCCCCACCTCACCCCCTCCCGCCTCCTCCCCCGCCCGCGCACTCACGGGGCATCCGGGTGAGCACGTTGCGCGGCGCCTTCCGGCCGCGACCCCGGCCCCGCGGACGCGCCCCGGCCGCGTCGTCCCCGTCCTCCTTGGCCACCATGAGGCGGCGGAGGCGCTGGATGCGCTCGGGGTCCGGGGCGGGGGCACGGCGGCGGCTCCGGCCCGAGGTTCCGGCTCCGGAGGTCGTGGCCGTGGCCGTGGCCGGGACTGCGGAGCCCCCCGAGCTCGCGCCCCGCGCCCGGCCACGCCCGCCGCCGCGGCTCCCGGTCCTCAGGAAGCTCTCGTACTCGGCCACGTTGTTGAAGCAGGGCGCGTTGGGGTAGGGGATGGGAGGCAGGCAGGGCGCGTACAGGGCCAGCAGCGGGTCGAAGCTGTCAGAGCTGACATCCAGCCGCGGGCTGGGCGGGTTCGCGGGGCTCCCGGCGCGAGCCGACCTCGCCCCCCACTCGCGCTCCTCCATGTTTGAAAGGCCCGCAAGCCGAGGCCGATGGGAGGAAGGAGCGGGGCCGCCAGAGGGCGGCACTGCGCAGCCGCGGCACAGGGAGGCGGAGGGTGCACTGCGTCGGCGCGGACGCCAGAGGGCGGCATCGGTCTATGCTGCGCCCCTACCCGGGGGTCGGGGGGAGGACGGGGCGTGGCGAGCGGCTGCGACCTGCCCCCGCCTCCGCGCGCTGCTGACCGGTTAGCGCCTTCCCTGGGGCTCAATCTGCTCCAATGCAGTGTTTTACCATCTGTACCATTGTCACTTAGGGCGTCTTTTAACACTCCGGACACCTTGGGAATGGAGCCTGGCATGGCACTTTGCAACTGCAACCTACTTCTAGCCGGAGCTGGAGGGAAGGGGGCAGGAAGAGGACGAAAAAGGAAGAGCTCCTTTTGCGGTGGGGTTGGCTTAGACTCTCTGGGTTTTTCTGTCTCATCTGGAGGATGGTAGGAATAGTACCTGTCTCTTAGAACCGCTCTAAGTATTGAGGTACTGCATATAGAACAAGCAGTACATGCAAGCTAGCCATGTAAAGTGTACCAGAGCACGCAGTGGCTGCGTGCGTTAGCCGGCATCGGTTAAGTGTACGGTGGAATTAGAAGGAGATCCCAGTCCTCACCTCCTTTCCCTACGCATGAAGTTTGCACCAGAACTGGAAAGACCTCTGTATCAAACAAAATTCATTTTATGACTGATTTCTTGGGCTAACCAACTGGAGGAAACCAGGATTCACAAGACCGGGTCCGTACCATTTGTTAGTTTCTAGCCTCAGCAATATATGAAAATGATAGTCCCCTCCAGATGTTACCTCCTCATCCAGCAGAGCCAAGGTGCTTCTGTCAAATGCAGGCCGCCACTCTCAAGATGTGAACCAGTATCAACTCTTAGTGTTTGCTTTTGTGTCTATTTTCGTTCCCTTAAGTTGGACAAAAAAAGCCCAAGAATACTGTGTTTTAGAGACCAGGATGAAAATAATACAATTTTGAATACACACATATTGTAACAAATTCAGACCATAACAAAGATTAAATAAAAGCCACCAAGCAATGCTTTCTAGGTAATGGTGCTACTGGCTTCTTTGGCCATGGTGTTAACAACCAGTGTATTAGTTTAAAACCCCCTGCAAAAACTGCCAAACTATCAGCAATCCAAGGAGTGTTCCTCTCACAGCTTATGACAAAATCGAGCAGTAGGTTTTAGTATCTCCCAAGACCCATGCAAAGCACAAATTTCCCCTAGGTGGTTGTCTTAAAAACTTGTTCTTTAATGTCTCCTTGTCCATGCTTATTTTGATATAAAATACTATCAAGTTAAATCTGTCAGTCAAGGCTACATTATCTTACTCCCTCATCTAGCCTCAGTATACTGAGGGACTTTTTTTGTCCAAAGTGCTGTATGTTTACATTTGTCAGAAGACTTTGGAGTTAAAAAACAGACTGCTGATCCCCAAAATCTTCATGAGAGAGTTTCAAATTGACACTAAGTGAAAATTTTTTGTATCTACAAGTCTATGAATCTCAGCTGTAGTGAGGACATGTGCATCCCTGGCACCCAAAGACACACACGAGTTAGATCATGTATTTGTGTAAGAAACCAGTAAGGAGGCCAAGGGAGTTGAAATCTTTATTTTTTCTTGGAGATCTGAGCAATTACCAAACATGAGCTGAATCTCTTCTTCCTGTGGAGTGGGAGAATAGGAAGGAAAAAAACAGCACTGACAGTTGGGGTGTCAATTAGCAAAGGACGAAGGGCCAGCCGTCACTCTTTCAAAAATACATTTTCTTTTTGGCTGTAAATTCTGCAGTGCAAGACCAGGAACTGGGACATGGGCTGTCTCTTAATTAAGTCTCAATAACGACAAACTTTTTCCTTTAAGATACGAAATGAGTACAACAGGAAGCATGTGTTATCACACCACCTGTCCCCATGACCTTCAGAGTCCAACGGCTTTGGCAACTCCAGATCTGATACCTGCTACCTACAACCCCCAAGTGGCATGTTGACCCCCACCCTTTTTTTTTTTTTGCAATCCTCTTGCCTCAGGCCTCCTGAGTGCTAGGATTATAGGCATGCACTATGCCTGGGCCCCCTCTGCTCCTGAATTCAGATGTTAATGTTCTGATTATATAGAGGCTACTTGAGAATCTTTCAGGAAGTCCTGAAAGACTCTGTCCTCACTCATCCACTCACACGTTTTCTTTCTCTTGCAGATACGTATATGTATCTCACGTGTAACTCTCCCAAGAAAGAGGTAAGTGGCTTTGGAGTCTGTGTCCCCAACAAGGTGATGCTGATCATGCTGACAGTTCTGGAAAACCCATCCACAGAAAGTGTGCATGAGGATATCCAAACCAGAACTCATTTGTTGTGCCAACGTTGCCAATTTGGAGACAGGCACAAGGCCCCAAGTGTATGATGGAATTTCTTAATGCAGAGGCATCTAGCAGGCATTTAGCCATGGATTTCCAGATCTGCCAAAGATGACTGCAAGTACATGGGTGGCAGAAGTGAGGTTTTTCAGTCACTGGGTTCTCTAGTTAAGAATGAGTGGGTGAGAGTAAAGTTTGGGCTCCTCTTCTATCATAAGTGAAAAGAGCTGGCAGGTTTTGTTTTTTTTTAATATGCCTTAGCCCACAATCTAAAAATGATTTATCCTGAAAGGCATGAAGTAGTTATTCCTTTACAAAAATAGTACCACGATTTTGAAAAAAAAAAAAAAAAAGCCATATTCTAACATTGCCAAAAAGGTATTCTGCTTAAGCAGAACAAGATGTGCCGCCCCCATCCATCCTTCCCTTCTCTGCTCCCTCCTAATCTGAGTCACATTACTCCTGGCAGTGTTTTGAGCAGTAGGAATGCTAGGGCCTCCTAAGGCAAGGGGGGTCCCCCTCCTAAGGTAAGGGGGGTCCCCCTCCTAAGGTGGGGGGGCCTCACATATGTAAGCACGCCAGAATCGAAGGGCGAAGGGTCAGCTGTCTTCCTCTAGGATCCCTGGATGTTCCTTCCAGAAAGCATCCCCAATGATGTCGCAGTGCAAAGGCAAAGGCTTAGCCCTGGTCCGGGTCACTCTCATCTTTGTCCCTTCTATTTCTGCTGGCAGCTTAACTTCCTTTGTTGAGACTTCATCCACCTATAGGTAAAAGTTAAAATGGTGACACAATTAACTTGAGAGTAGATTTGGGAGAGAAAAGGAGGATGGGCAAGTTCACTTTTCTTATTTGATATACTTCTGTCACATTTTTATGTATCAATAATGTAGGAACTCAACAATTAGGGTGGGGATGCCTGCCTGGCATGCGTGAGGCCCTGGGTTTGATCCTCAGCACCACAAAACAACCGGAAAAAGCAAAACAAACAACTTTTAAAAAGATTTTCAGTTCACTGAAAAGTGAACTTAGGAACAAAGAAGGGATTTCATGTTCCTTTTTAGCAAGAAATACCAAATTAAGGATATTTCTCTTCTCCCACTGGCATTAAGAAGTATCCAATGCTGTGCCAAAGAATGAATGTGTTTTGAAAATATTAATATAAGAGCTGAAGTTGCCAGAGGAATGACTAGGTCTCAAGGTACCCTTTAATACTGGAAAAACATTCATCCCAGAGAGAAAAAAACCAATTTAACATGGAAGGATATGAACTTAAGAGAACTAATTACGTCTAAGAGCTGATGAGAGAAAAAAACACTGGTAGAATTATGGACTTAAGAAAATATACTTAAATCACATCACAGAATATCAAGGTAAATATGAATGTCTTTGGAGTCTCATGAAATTTTGAAAATGGCAAAACCCCTAATCAACATTTCCTAACACTTCATACTATAGTTGTCATGGGACAGATGGACCATTTAATGATATTATCCACTATGGAAGAGAATATTTTTTAAAAATGTTCTGTGAATACAAAAACCCTCTTATCTCGCTATATCCTTTTCAAAAGGGCTTATTTGATATAGGGAGAGTTTATCACATAGAAAAATAAGTACACTAATTTTAAAATTTTGTGATTCTACCTGCATCTACTTTTGGGAGATTTCCAGATCACTGACTAACAAAAGTTGCATCCAAATCAATATTCTAAAGCATCTCCTGCAAAGGATCTAGTTTGTGTTAGCAACAGAAGTCAGATCAGAATACAGGTGGCAGGTGGGGGGCAGGGGCATGGCTCAAGTGGCAAAGTGCCTGTCTAGCAAGCAGGCGTGAGACTCTGAGTTCAAACTGAGTACCACAAAACAAACAAACAAAGTACACTTCCCACAGGTGGCAGGTGGCAGACAGCCTGGGAGGGACCCAGGCCTTTACTCCTGACCGCCATTTTTCTTTGAACGCACAGCATTACCTTCTGCCAAATCAACACAGTCCCTTTCCTGTACATCAGTGGCTCATTATTATAGTTGATGTTGAATTGAGAAAACAAAATCTCATTCTTGTCTGCTGCAAGAGTTCCCTGAAGAAATACAAAAAAGTATAACAAGTTAGTCATGTCCTCTTTCTCCCTTATTGCTAGCTGTCCACAGTCTAAACTTCCAGAAACAAACCAAGAAGCAGAAGGATTCTATCAAACATCATACAGTTACTAATGAATTAAAAGCAATTCAAATCATATTTAGAGGTCCACATTCAGAAAATCGTCTTCAGCAGCAAACACTGGCTTCACCAGTTAAGATTATGAGGGAGATGGAAGGAACAACAGTAAATGTGTATAGCATGTACATAATAAACTGTGTTTCTTTTTCTTGCTAGACCATCATGCCACCTCCACTTTAGAGATGAAAAAACTGAAGCTTAATGAGATTGTATAAATTGGCCAGGTTGAAGGTTGTCTTATTCTTCTCAGAAGAATCAACCAGACTAGATATACCTGGTAGTATTCTTGTTGTTGCTATATAAAAACTTCATTACTATTGTTAATAAAGACAACCATATATAAGATATTATCTCAGGAGCTGTTATAACACATTACCTCATTTCAGAGTCAGTCATCCTACAAGTTGCACTTTTTATCTAATAAGGAAAGCCAGTATTTAGTAAGCATTTACAAAGTAATGCTTTTCTATGTGTTTTACATGCAACATGCCTTTTAATTCTTACTATAAACCTATGAGGAGGGCTACATTTTACTTATAAAGAACTGAGGCAGAGAAGATAAAATTTAACAGAAGCATGACTCCAGGAAGGCTATCTAACTGCCAGAGCATGGACTTACCATGCACAGGGTCCTAAATCCATGAAATGACAGGTACCCAGCAGGGCACAGCAAGGAAGGAAGGGGCCTGGTGGGAATGGCAAGACCACATGCCTTGTCTGAAGAGGTCAGCCAAGTGGGAACATGTGGGAGTGAAGAGCCAGTGTCACTGCCATTTTCAGCTCTGGACATAGAGGCTTGGGGAGAAGTAACAACCCACTCAAGTGTTCATAGCAAGCAAGTCACAGAGCTCCTGCCATTATGCTTTTTAAGTCCTTTCAAAACCGCTGTAAAGGGAGCTAAAGAATAATCTAAGGGAACCTAAAAAACAAAGTTACAGGAGAGACTGTCCCAAACTGTCCCCAGCTAAGCACTTCTGTGGTAAGACATTTATACCTGTAATCGCTCTTGGGCTTGTACTGGTGTTAGTCCAGACTGTTGTATAAGTGCCCAAAAAACTGTATTATAAAGATTATTGATGTGACCTGTGAGGAGAACAAAATAATAGTGTTTATATATGCAGAATTTCTTTTCAACATTTATACTTCTAGAAATACTTCAGCCCTGCCCCTTCCACTTTCAAGTAAAGAGATCTCAGAGACATTACCAATTAGCCCAAAGTCCTATCAGGGAAAAAGAGAAGAAGAGTAAGGCAGAAAGAGCTTATTTCCTGCAAATGGCTCTGTTTGTTCATTTCAGTAATGCCTTACATAAATCTGTTCAGCTATGTGTGAATCTTAGGAATACATTCAAAGTTACTTGTGTTAGTTCAATCTCTTCTCCAGTTCTTCTGGTGAAACCAAAATATACCAAATGAGTTAAAAGTCTCACAAACATTATCACAGTCACATAAGCCCTGGGTCACAACTCAAATACCCATTGAAGTTGGAATGAAGATAAATGTGTAAAACAGCAGGTGATCCTGATGGAACAGAAGGGAATGGCAGAGACTGTGTGGCACATTGCCTCATATGCATGTGCGTCAGAGTAGGCGGCTGCCCTGTAAAGGCTATGTCTGAGTCTAAGTGGCAATGCAGACCCAGTACTGCCTCATATCCTGATTTCAAAAAACAAACCACAGATAAGTTTTTATATGAAATCTTCCAATTTTTCAAATTATTTTTAATGAATTAAAAATTCTTTTGTGAACTCGGCATGGTGGCACACTCATAAACCCAGCATTCAGGAGACTGAGACAGGAAGAATCTGACTTCTAGCCCAGCCTGAGATACAAAGCAAGACCCTGTCTCAAAAATAATTTTTTAAAAATACTACATTTCAAACAAAATACATGTGAGCCAAACCTGTAACAAATTGACACATTAAAGAATGCACAGAATTGGTGGTTTAACTATATCTGTATCTTGTGCCACTTACAATCTGCTTGCCTCCAGCTGAGGTAGTCCTTTAAGGTCTGGTTGCTAGGATACACCACAACTCTTCCATCAAAGCCTGGGGGATACAGAAGGGGCTGGTCCTCAAAGAAATCTCGCCAATAAAACACATAGCTGGAGGCGAACTGGGAAGCCACGAGAGTCATGAACTTACTTGTGGATGTAAGACACGTTGGAAGGAGCAAGAAAAGAGAGAATGTACGGTATTAATTCAACACCATGATAGGACCTGTGGGTGCAAAAGAGAGATTACACAAACTGCCGAGCCAGACAAGAGATAAAATATGTTTGGCTAAGAAAAACTATTATACTATTTCAGTTACATATTTTAAATGTAGCCTGCCTCTCTTTCCAGACCTACTAAGTTATTTATTTACACCCAGTTATTCTCTGTAAGATGTGATGTAAATTTATGGTTCAAATTTATGTTTTTGTTTTCCTTTTTGGTAGTTTCGAGTTTTGGAAGGGAACCCTTGTTTTAAAAACATACCAATTTGCTATTTGATTTATTTCCTGTAAAAATTTCACAATACTGCCAAATTAAGTATTAGATTTGTCTATTTTATACTGAAATCCTCCTCAGTTGAAAGGTTAGATAATACTGCAAGACGTGTGTTGCAGACTGACGCTGGCTAAAAGCAACCTATGAATCATTAATATTACATTTTTATGGTCTCTGTTTCGAGTGGTTTTGTTTGTTTGTTGTTTTGTTTCTTTGAGACAGAGTCTTATGTAGTCCAGGCTGACCTAGAACGTGATATCCTCCTGTATCAGCCTCTTGAGCACTGGGATGATAGGCATAAGCTTTGGCCTTAGTTTAAATGCTCAGAGCCAGGGCAGTCTAGAAACTAAGCTGATAGGGCATGGAGGGGAAAGAAAAAGAAAGTGTATAAATACTCAGGTCTCAGAGAGGAGGACAGCAGTCTAAACAGGACACACACATACACTCTGCAATTGAAAGTATATAGGCAGTGCCTCATGCCTATAATCCTAGCTACTCAGGAGGCAGAGCTCAGGAGGATTGAGGTTCAAAGCCAGCCCAGGCAAACAGGATGTGAGACCCTATCTTGAAAAAAACCCATCATGTAAAAGGGCTGGTGGAGTGGCTCAAGGTGTAGGCCCTGAGTTCAAGCCCCAGTACTGAAAAAAAAAAAGAAAGACAATACTGCACGTATCAACTGTAGTCTGTAAGATCTTGGCTGTAGCCAAGATAAAGAGAAAAGCAGATGCTGGGAGGGAATACTCTGAAGAAAGGTGGCAGGACAAGGGACTACCTGGCTCTTCTTTTAAACCAGTTGCTCTTCCGCTTGAACACAAAGCTGTATTCGTCACTCTGTCCATATGCAATCACGATATCCTCCAGTTCTCCCATTACTGTTTGGGCACACTTGGTCATCAGGTGAAGAGCTCGGCTGTCATTAGGTTTTGCAAAATTGTGCTTCTCAGCAAACCTTCACAGAGGAAAGACAAGAGGGAGAAGGCACAGATGAAAGACAGTTTGTCACTGACACCACAGGCCACAAAGGCAGTTCAAAGAGAAAGGTATTCTATCAGTGCAACTAGCTACAATGTAACCTGTTTTCTTAAGACTAGATTTCATTGCTGTGCCCAACAGAGGGACAGGGACATAATTTGTAAGCTTCAAGTCCCTTCTCTGCAATATGGGAGAATAATGGATTTACCTCATTGAGTTGTCCTGACGATCGGGGAAGATAAAAGTGTAACTATGCCTGCCTCCCATTAAGTGCTCTAAAAATATTAATTACAATGGTCATTATTAACAAGGTAGCTTTTTTTAAACATTAAATTCCCATTGTTGTTACATTTCCCCCCTCTTCTTTTCCTGTCTCCTCCTCCAATGCAGTCCATGTGCCCTATTACTGATCATGATACATGGTATACTGTAAACTAGTGCCCACAGCCAGGCCTACACAGGCCTGTGAATAGGCAGCACTCAAAAATATCTAACAGAATAGCCGGGCAGTTGGCTGAAGGGCCTAAGTCTTAAGTTTTTTTCCATCGGGTTCCTGCTAGGTTATTTCTGCTCACTTAACTCGAGCACCCCAAGCCAGTTCCTAACTCGGGAGTACTTTGCCCCTTTTAACGACTCTGACCAGTTGAGAAGCAAGCCCAGATATAGCCAGCAGGCCAGGGGACGCTCAATGCGGAGCGCACATTGGCTGCCGCGTTACCCCGGTAACCATAAGCCCCGGCGCCGCAAACTCCCCGGAAGTGCTGTTTCCCCACGCCGTCCCGCGCCGAGCTAGCTCACCGGTGAAAATTCCGGCCGTCCAGCCGCACCACCACCCAGCAGTGAGGTAGGCAGGTGTCGTCAGCCTCGAAGTCCCGCACGTACTCAAACTTGCTTTTTGCCATGGTCACCCCCAATCTCGAGCCCCGTCCCAGATTGACGGAAGCAGCGGCCAAGCAACGGTGAACCTTTGCGGTGCGGGCAGCCCACATGCCCCACACGAAGGGCGAGGCCTCGGAGCCCCGCCCCGGAAGTTGCTGTTGCTCCTTGTGGCCGCTCTAGCCTCCGTGGAGGTCGTCAGCTCGCTGGCCTGGGGCGGAACCCGCTCTTCCCTTCCCAGTGCCCTGCTCTCTCCTTTCTTCTCCAGACCTGCGACAGAGCGCTTTACGAAGTCTTAAAAGTACTCTTTGATGGCCAAGTTTGAAAGAATACTTGGGGTTTTTTTGCCCTTTCTAAGCAGCATTCGTTCATCGTAGAACACGTGGAATATGTGAATTAACTTTATAGCCCCACCCCTCAAGGCATTGTGGGTGGGTCGTTCCAGTCTTCTCTGTAAGTTTAACCCAAGAACACATGAAATAGAAATCCTTCACCCACACAGTCTTTATGATTTTTACACAGGGCCTGGTTATTTTCCAGGGCCATCGATTATTCCAAAGAGTGGCTTTTAAAAGAAAAATACTTTTAATATGCCAACATATGGGTGTACTAAATTACCTTACTCAACTTTTCTGAGTTAATGTTCGTAAATAGGCACGACCCAATGTTTGAGGTTTTGCTGGTATATATTAAGAGCAATGCGACCTGCATAGTGATGTGATGTTTTATGATTTTGTGAACCTCCTTTAATTCATTATCTGCTTACATTGGTTGTTTTCCTCAAAAAAGATCCTCAAACAATGTACAAGTGTATGTGGTGGAAAGTCTCTTACTGGTAATTTCAAGTGCTTCAGGCAACTACTGTTACCAGTTTCAGGCATATTCACCCCGGGATTCAAAACTCTATTCCAGCTGTGCGTATGTGTGTGCATCACCCTAACAGTATCACAAAGTAGCTAGGAATCGGAAGGAATTGGTACCTCCACTTGACAAAGGGGGAAATCTGAGATTTAAAGAGAACAAAGTTTCTGTGATGTCAGTGTGGGTTAGAAGTAGGACATAAACCCACAACATACTCTCTTTCCTTTCTGTTGAAATCAGTTTTCTGTAAATTATCATTCCTTGCCTTTTACTTGTGTCCAAGCTGGTCAGGAGACAATCAAATCCTACCTCCCCTAGGAACCAGTAGGTTCAGTAGGTAATCTGTAATTCCTGGGCCCAGGTGATTCTCCTGTGTCATCCTCCCCAGTAGGTGGGATGACAGGTACACTCCACTGTCACTGGCTATTAGGTGCATTTCAAAATACTACTTCCCAATATAACCTCATGATTTTTAAAAATGTGTTTCCCAGCTTTGCCCATTGAGCAGAGATGAAATGACACCCTAAATGTAATAAGCATCCAGTTCTTGATCCTTCCTTCCTTTCTTCCCTTTGTTAGTTTTTTCTTTTCTTTAAATTGTCTCACTGTATAGCTCATACTGACCTTGAACTCAAGACCCTCTTTGCCTCAGCCTCCTGAGTGCTGGGATTACACATGTGCTGGCCCAGCCAGTTCTTGATTTCTAACTACCAGTCCTCATGAGAATAAACTCCTTGGAGAAATGGCTGGCTTGACGTTGTGTCACAGAGAACTCAAGGTGAGCCTGGGAGATCATTTTGTGCCAGAAAGGAAGGAAATGCTCAAGGAGTAATGAGAGCATACCAAAAAGATGAACCAGCTTGAAGGCCAAATTGAAGATAATTTGAGCATCAATAAGAGTAACTATAATTGATTATAATACATTGAATAAGTAAAAATCCACAACTCCATAATAATACTTGGGGAAAGGAAAACTCATTTGCTGTAATTGGAAATAATTATTACTCTGAAAATTGGTTATTAAAGGGAAAAGGGCATTTGCCTTGCTTTTTATGTGGAACTATAATTCAACTCCAGCTGATGAGGGGAAGCTATTTACAAAAAAAAAATGCTGGCTAATTTAAAATGAAGAATGGTGGAGTTAGAAAATCAACTTTCTCCCAACATCTATGGAATAATTGATTCAAAAAGGATCACTAATGGATGCTAAAACCATTATAAGATTTATGGGAAACAGGATATTCTTCAAATGTTGTCGTATTATTCTGCTGATTATTTGCTAATTACAAAGAAAAAACATACCATTACAAACAAGAGCTCTCACTGTCACTACCTTAAATTAGTTATCAAAGTTAATATCACTAATAGTAATATAGCCTACCTCTACGGAGCTCTTGATGTGGTGCACCACAATGAACACACCACCATGAGTTAAAATCAATTCAACCATTAAGTCAATGAGTCACAACCTCCTCACATATTAAAATCAACTGAGGGGACATTTAAAATTCCCAACTCTTGGCATGCATCCAGGCCAATTAAATCAGAACCTTTGCAGGTATGATTTAGGCTTTAGTGTATTCATTTTATTTATTTTCTAAAGAGAAAAACTTAAAAATGCATTTGCTCACAGCCAGTAAACTGATTTCTGAGACCTTGGCAGAGTATACCCTATGGATGGAATTGCCACTATGTACAGAAATAAAATAGCATATTTACAGGGTAGATACACCCCATATAATCTTTGTGCCAATTTATATTCCAATCTATAATAATTATTGCTTCAGAAACTCCCACTCTCTGTCCATTCATTTATATAATCAATCTTTAGTGGTTTTAGTTGTTGTTTTGGTTTTCTGTTCTTTTGTGAGATGCACTTAAGCTGCCTTTTCTCCCCCAGTTTGTGCACAAACTACGCAGAGTTCCAGGTAGGAGTTTCTAGAGTTCAGACTACTCCCAGAGCTGGGCTTTCTTTCTTTTATGAACACTAGTGTGTAGGAATTGTTCAAAGTAATGGGTTCTGTTGTGACATTTTTATACATGCTTATAACATACTTTGATCATATTTACTCACCCCTTCCCCTCCCTCTTTCCCCATGATGCTCTTCCCGTTTCCCTAATGGTCTCCCTTCTACTTTCACCTCTTTTTTCCTGCATTTTTTTCCCTAGATTCCACATATGAGAGAAAACATATGATACTTGTCTTTCTGAGTCTGGCTTATTTCACTTAACATGATGATCCCCAGTTCTGTTAATCAAACTTTGTTGCTGTGGTGAAATACCTGACATAAAAACTTAAAGGAAGAAAGATTTTTTTTTTTTTTTTTTGGTTTGAACTCAGGGCCTTAAGCCACTCTGCCAGCTGTTTTTTGTGATGGGTTTTTTTTGAGATAGGATCTCAGGTACTATTTGCCCAGGCTGGCTTTGAGCCATGATCCTTCTAATCTCTGCCTCCTAAGTAGCTAGGATTACAGGACTGAGCCACCAGTACAAGGCTGGAAGAAAGATTAATTTTGGCTTAGTTTTAGAAGTTTCAGTTCATCATGGTGGGAAGGGCATTGAAGAATGGAGCAGCTTATCTCATGGTGGCCAGAAAGCAAAGAGAAGGGAATGTCTGCACTCCATTACTGTATTTCAGTCAAAGTTCCCACGGTGGTATTGATGTGCAGCCAGACAGAGAGTTACTGACTGAAAGAGAACGGTTTAAAATACACCAAGAGAGCATAACCAGACAAATTCACCTATGAGACACTCTGTAAGATTACTGACTTGGCTTCTTCAAATGGTCAGTGTCATCAAGAATGAAAGGAAAAAAGAGGACAAGGAGTGAGGAGGGGAGGGGGAAAGTAAGTGGGGGACTGTTCCAGAATAAAAGGGATTTAAAAGACATAAAAATCAAAATCAGCACACATATATTAACTCAGTTTGGCCTAAAAACATTAAACACAGCTTTAAGTTCCCTGGGAAAAATCTGCAATTACATATGAGCAGTTTTTAGTGATTTATAAGAAAAAGTTTATTGCTTGCTTGAATCACTGGTTTTATTTTATATATTTATTTATTTTGACCTTGACATCTTCTTATTCTAAAGTCCAGGAAATGATCTGCAAAGCTTCTGTACTGTGTAGTGTGTCTTGCTGCTCACATCATATTTACTAAAACAGTATGGACAAGTACAAAAGCTATAAAGCAGGGTATACTATCCCTTGCACACAAGGGGAAATAAACGCTGAACAATAGTACTGTCTACTGTAAATGTTTGAATTTCTAGTAAGGAATCACTGTTAATTTCACAAGCATGATACTGGGAATGTGGTTATGTATCAATATTTGGAGTCTTCAGTACAGAACAAAGAGACTGACAGAAAAAAGCAACCGTGGCAAAATGTTAACAATGACTGAATCTCGTGGTGGTTAGAGAGATATCATTGAATTATCTTTTCAGCTTTTCTGCATTGTAGGTTGAATTGTGTCCCCTTCCCTTTAAAGTATGTTGAAGTCCTAACACACACCGTGGATGTAACTGTATTGGGAGTAGGGACCTTGCAGATATAATTAATTAGGAAAGGGTTATCAGAAAGGGTCTTAATCCAGTATGACCGGTTTCCTTACAAGAAAGCATGCACATGGACAGGGGAGGCTGAGACTGGAGATGGGCTGTTCTCCATCACCAGAAGCTCGGGGAGAAGCGTGGATACAATGCCACTGTCATTACATTTTGCAAATGAGGAAACTGAGTGGACAGAGGTTGAGTGACTTGCTCAAGGTCACAGAGCCAGAGCTGGTGGATCATGGGTTCTCACCCAGACATTTTAACTGCACAGCTTGCTCGCTTACACTGTTTCATTCACCAGCTCTGTGGAAATTTCTGTGTGTGCTAATCGTCTAGCACCTGCCTGAGTCCTGGAATTGTGAGTGTGCGTGTCCAGTTTACTTACACACAGTCAGTACGAACCTTGTCAGACTCACGGCTGTGGTTTGGACATGGTTGGAACTGGCATCATGCTCTTGAACTTCCAGCACTGGGAGCTAAATAAACCTCTTTTATTTTTTTTCCTCTCTTTTTGTTGTGGGGGGGAGGGGCTGGAGTTTTAACTCAGAGCTTCGTGCTTGCAAATCAGATGCTCTACCTCTTGAGCCATACCTCCAGTCCATTTTCCTCTGGTTATTTTGGAGATGGGGGGGGTGTCTCATGAACTATTTGCCCAGCCTGGCCTTGAACCACAATCCTCCTAATCTCAATCTTCCAAATAGCTGGGATTATAGGCATGAGCCACGGGTGCCTGCCTTAAACCTCTTTTCTTTATAAAGTACAGGT